ATCCGAGTCCCTAAATCTCCCCACCACCCCCCAAACCCACACACCCCCAACCCAGGCGATTGGCTAGAGGAGGGGACGCCAGACACAGGTTCCCCACGCCTCCAGACCCCGTCTTTCTGGGCTCCCCCCCAGAACCCCGACTTCTCCCCCCTGGGTGAAGTCTCTGGATTCTCAGTTTCTGGGTCTTTATGCAAGAAAAAAGGGGTGTTGGGGGGAGGAGGAGGAGGGGTGACCCGGCTTCTTCACATCAGGGGGGCTCCAGAAAACCCCCCTACATGGAATCCTCTCGGCTGGCTTCTTTTTTGACCCCAAAAAAATCTGATTTTGTGCGTTGCACAGAGAGGCGAGCTTTGGGTGAGCCAGGTACGGCGGTGCATTGCTTCTTTGAGGGGTGTAGGGGGGCGGTCACCCCTTTGCTTTCCGCCCCCCCCTCGTTTTCCCTCCAGTCCCCAGGTCCTTTTCTCCATGGTACCTGTTGATGCCATGGCCCTCTCTTTTGGCACCTCCTTTCGCCCCCACCCCCAAAGACAAGTGAAAACAACAACAAATAAAACGGGGTTCCTACAAATAAAAAGGGGGCAGAGCTGTCCTTTTGGGGGGGGGAGTGTGAAGAAGCCGGGGACGGGTGGGGGATGCGCACAGCTCGGCCCGTGCATCAGGCGTGAGGTCGCTGCTGCAGGGCCTGGAACTTGGGGATCCTCCGCCCCCCCCACTCCCTGAATCCACCCCCCCCACACACACAGGGGGACTAAGCCTGACTCCAGGCTGAGGTCTTGGTGAACAGCCCCCGAGCCCCCATTCACCCACGGAGAACCGAGGACACTCCCCCACACACCCCGTGCCAATGCGCCCCGGTTTTTTCCTCCACGTGGTCACCCCACGGGCGCCGGCCTGCTAGCTGGCATGAAGTCGAGCCACTGAGCCCCACTCTCCCTGGGGGTACCCCCTTGACTCAGGTTCATTCAAATCTCATCCACCAGGCCGGAGGCGCAGCCTGGGTTCTGGGAATTGCGCTAGAGATGGCGCACGCGGGGCTGGAGCAAGCGGAGCCTGGATCTCCAGCTCCCCAAGTCATCTGCGTCTCCCTGGAACCCCTAAACCCCCCCCCCACTCCCAGCCCCCAGCCCCGGGGTGCAAACTAACCAGGGACCCAACTTTAAGCAGCTGATGAGCAAACCCCAGCCGGGCTTGGCTTTGCGATTTGGATTTGCGCTTCGGGGTGTAGCAATCCAGGGGGCACATTTAGAAAGGTCTGGGGGGTTTGCCTCCCCCTCCCCCAAAAAACTCAGCTCCAAGGACCACAGACCAAGCAGGGATGGCGGCCTTCAGACGTCTGGAAACCCCCAGGACTGCGTGTCAGCCTATAATCCTCAGGAGACAGAATTTAGGCTGCTGGTTGCTCACCACCAAAGGAGGGGGTGTAGGGGGGTGTGGGAGGGGGGGTCCCCGGGACAGGATAGCACCCCGTAGGGACCCCAGGGCAGTATCCAGTTCCAGTGTTCCCTTTTCCAAAGTCACCAGAGCCATCTTCTTTCCAAATGACTCTGGAGAGTTAACTTTGTGACTTAAGTTGTGCAGCAGAAAACTTTTGAGGTTCTCTGCTAGGGATGGGGGTACGCATCCCCCCCCCCGTACCCCTCAGCTTTTATTTTCACAGGGATGCCTCCAAACCCAAGCCTTGGCTCAGGTCCTCCTTTCTATTGGGGGTGGGATAATAAGGGGGACTTACCACCCGTTTAAAGGGAAAAACAAAGCTGAGATTCTCCTTTCTCGGCTTCCATTGCTTTGGTAGCAAGATTTCAAGTTCAAGATCCACCGCCCCCCCCCATCTCCCCGTTCTTTTTTTTTTTTACCCTTTTAAGGGTTTTTGTTTCACTGACTTTGGAAACCCTGGCTAAGAATAAGCCTGCCTCATGCAAAGCACAAAGTCTGAAAGTATTACCACCGACCCTCTCCAAATCTGGTGATGAATTCACATGCAATTGAATTCTTTCTCCAGACCCGGGGGGAGTCGAACTCGGTTTGCAGGAGGCCAGCTAGCGCTCTACAACTGAGCCACGCCTTCACCCCAGGGTTGATTTCTTTCCTTCTCTTTCACCTTGAATGAATAAAATTGATCCAATGAATCAAGGCCGTTTACTGGACCACTTCAGGGAAGACATTTTATTTTGGTTTGCTTCTGCTGAGCCGGGTGTAAAGTCTGGCTAGTGGAACCCGGATTTTCCTGCAGGAAAACCGATGTTGAATTCCATTCAGAATAGTAGATAAAATCAAAGCTGGGCCAGGTACCGTTTGCACCTCAATTTCTAGGGTTTTTTTTGTGGGGGGGGGTGCTTAATTGGATATGAGTCTTTTCTGCCCAGACTAGGCTTTGAATCTCAATCCTCACATCTCAGACACCCCAGTAGCCGGGATTACAGGCATTATGCAGCAGCCGGGGTCTGAGATTATTCATTTCTGTAAGCAGAAAATTAGGACGGTTCATTCCAGTCAAACATGACCTTTGCAAGCAAGGAGAGGCCTGTAATGAGCACTGTTTTTTTTTTTTTTAAATATAGAAATCAATTCCTTTCTGATTTTCTTACATCCACTGAACCTTACCGAGAATGTTTAAAAGATCATCTCCAATTTCTACCCTCACCCTGAACGATTACCCTTCATCCCTCTTTTACCAAAAGCAATTATAATCACAATAAAGACACAGATAAAACTTTAATAATATAGAGGGAGGAAAACGGGGCCCAAATAGGTTCATCTCTCTGTGATAGAATACAGAAACCATTTCGTGGGTCCTCCCCTGCATTGTCTTATTTTTTTGGGGGGGGGGGGAAGAAATCTAAGTGTATCCCTGTATCTAATTTACCCTTTTGTTTGCTGCAAGCAAAAGTCAAATCACCCCCCCACCCCCCCACCCCCCCAAAAAAGTTTAAGGGTCACCCATGATGATTTCTCTTCAGAACTGAGGGGAAAAAAAAAAAAATTAACCAGGGAAAGGTGCATGGCCATTTGTCTTCCGAAATAATTTGCTTTTTAAAAAAAAATTGTCTGGTGTATAAAACGTCTTATATTTTATTATCATTATAATAATAATTATTATAATATATATATTTATAACATAAAAACTGCCGGCGCCGGTCTGCGAGGGGAGAAATGGGGAGGGTGTAAATGGAACCAACCTAAAGCCTTAGAACCTCCTCCCACTGAAGAGAACACATTTGAACTAATTTCCCCCACCCCACCTTTTCCCCCTGTGGCTTTTTCTTTTTAAAGGGTCAGGCTATTTTAAGGTAGTGCAGAAAGAGCCGAGATTGCAGGAGTAGGCAGCTGGGCACAGCCTTCTTGGGAGGACAGAGGGTAACTCCTTGGAAAGCCAAACATCCATCATCCTGGAGTCTTTCTCTCTCTCTCTCCTTTGTTTCCCCTTAGGACAATGGTACATGCCATAACCCACAGGTGTAGCGTACAGTCCGACGGGGGGAGATGGGCAGCACAGGTCTGTGGAAGGGGTAGGAGGCGCGTACAGAGATTGCAGCCTGCAGGGGTGAGTTGATGGGGAAGGGCAGACTGAAGCCAGAAGGGAGCATGGGTTTCGCAGCCATCTTCAGCTTCTCTAGCTCTGCCTCCTGGAGTCTTTTTGGCCTTGGCCCTGCGGTTCTGGAACCAGATTTTGACCTGGGTCTCTGTGATGGTTCAGAGAACTGGAGAACTCGGCTCGCGCTCGGCGATGGACAGGTACTGTTTCTGGCGGAATTTGCGCTCCAGGGCCAGGAGCTGGGAGGTGGTAAAGGGAGTCCGAGGTTTACGGTTGGTCTTGTGCTTCCTGAGGGTGCAGGTGGTGGGACTCAAGTGTCCTGGGAAAGGACAAGAAAGGGAGACAAGCCAATTAGCAGGTGTGTGACATGGTTGCTAGTGCTTCTTCTTTCTTTTAGAGCCGGGCATTGGTGCTGACGCCTGTCATCCCAGCGACTCAGGAGGCTGAGATCTGAGCCTGGAAGGTGCCTTTGATCAACTCATTATGACTTTGGTAGAGGAAGGCCCAAATGGAAGCAAACACATGGCTACTTCCCCCCCCCACACACACCCCACACACACCCCACACCTTGTTTTTCTTCTTTAAATCAGTTTGGGGAATGTAATGGGGGTCATGGAATTTTTCTGTATGGAAAGCAAACTGCATTAGGAGGTCAAACTCACGAGCAAAACCTTTCGCACATCAAGGGCTGAGTGTTCCTTGAGAAATAATACTTTGAAATGGAGAGAACTGTATTGGGGGCTGAATTCACGATCTGCACAACAGTCTCTTAGTTTCTTGGGATCCAGGCTGGCACAGAACCACAGCTCCACTTGTGGCTTTTTGCTGATTAGTTGGACATTCAGAGTCTCACAGCCTTTCCTGCGGGGGGGGGGGGGGGGGGGGGTTGGCTTTGAACCTTGATCCTCAGATCTCAGCCTCCTGAGTAGCTGGGATTACAGGCGTGAGCTCCTTGAATAGGTCTTCCTGAATACTGATTTAGCCATTTCCTGCCCTCTCTCTCTCTCTCTCTGATCTGAACCAGGCAAAGTTGGGTGTCATCAGCCTGTGAAAAATTAATAACATCTCTTAGCTGTGGGGAGGGGGAGACAAAGCCACACTATAAACCAAAGCCCTCATTCCATCTACAACACAGATGATAATAAAAAACCCAACCTCCATCATCTCCTATGTCTGGATGCGGATATAAAGTTTCTTGGCTGGGTTATGGGGGGGGGGGGTCATATAAACTTGACAAGGACAGAGAGAGAAAATAGTTCATCCATAAATGTACATGATGGTGGGAGGGGGGGGGGGAGAGGGAGAAATCGTCTGCCAGGCCTCAAGGCAGAAGGAGATCTTAGTCATCATTTCTTCTAGCCTTTGCTAGGGTGGCAGGCAAAATATGTAAATGATTTAGTTGTTGCTGGGATTTTAGAAGTGGAGGGAAAGGGGGGGGGGTTGGAAGGGCTGATGCTGAATTTTAAATCAATTCAATTAGAGAGACAAAAGAGAGAAACACAGGCCGGGAGATTCCATGTCAACTAACTCACCTCCAGGCCCTTGTTTACCTCGGGGGCTGGGGTGTGGGGAGGGGAGGAGACCAGAATAGATCACAGCTCCAACAATTAATTTTCTGCATTTGGCATTTTTATGAGCTATGCTAATTCCCCCCCCCAACACACACACACACACACACACACACACACACACACACTTCGGCGGTTAGACAGTAATAACTGGAGGAGAATGTCACATTTCTTGTTTAGTTACTTGGTGGCTCCTTGAAGTCTGCAGTACTTCCTATTAGGAAGTTTTCACAAGCAGTTCCCACCCGGGATGGATTTATTTTTTATATCCTTCCATCTCCGAATGCCACCTTATTAAACCACTCTACTCATTTTCAATAATAACAACAACAATAATAGTAATAATAAGAGGCAGAGGGCTGGTGGGTCAATGCCTAGCTAACTCAGGAGGTTGCGCTCTGAGGATCCAGGTTCAAAGCCAGCCTGGGCAGGGAGTCTGTGAGACTCGGATCTTCAAAGAACCATCAAAAAGCTGGAAGTGGAGCCAGGAATCAAGTGGTAGAGCGCCCAGCCTTGGGCAAAAATAACTAAAGGACAGCGGGGAGGGAGAATCAAAGAAGGGGAATAAATCTGAGTTAGGCTGAGGGAAGGGAAAACTTTGATATGCTAATTCCCAAGTAAACCAGACATCTAGAAGAGCTTCCCTCACTTACAAAACTAGCAGGGCTATGTCTGGGGCTCTCAATCCGGGTTTTAACCCTTCCCACCAAACCTGGCAGGGCTCTCAGGAGAACCCGGGGAACCCAGCAGCGGGGTTCTGATCAAATCTAGTTGGAAACTGGGCACCCATGGCCCGTGGCCTGCCAGCCTAGCTATTCAAGGAGGCTGAGATCTGAGTGAGGAGCGTGGTTCGAAGCCAGCCTGCGCTTAGGAAAAGAGGCCATGAAATTTCGATCTCCAGTTAATCTGCCAGAAAAGCCGGGGAACCAGTGCTAGGGAAAAAGTTCAGGGACACAGCTGGAGTTCAAGCCCCAGGGGATACACGGACACGGACGGACACACACACACACAGAATGAAGACTGAGAATCTGCCATGCAGGTGTATTAAAGCCAGAGCTCAGGGCCTCCAATTAGCACCCAATTCCACCCCCCCCCCCCCACCTTCTCCCCAACCCCATTTTCAACCAGCCCAAGAAAAATACAAAGCAAAACAGCACTGATCCTACTTTGTCCCATCACACACAAAAAAAAACAGGCCTGAGTAGATCTTCTCCCTGTACCCCCACCCCAACCTACTCCAAGGCCCCAAACACCACGGGGTCTCAAAATCTCCTACCAGGGGCAGAGATAACTTCTGGTCTAATAAAAGAGATCTTGCCCTTTCTTGACTCCCCAAATTTAAGCCTTTTGATCATTATCAATTTCATGAGCATGAATTGGCTGGTTACCAGGCCTACCTAGAAATGAATCTACAGGCAACCACAGATTTGGGGAACCCGGTTTTACGGTGTGCTGGAGCCTCTCCTCATGGAGGTTGGGGTGAGGGGGAGGCCGGGAAAGAATCATGATTCCTGAAGTCGTTTTGAGTGCTACTTGGGGCAAAGCCCACTTAGTAGGTGATCAATTAACATCCCCCACGCCCCCCCCCCCCAACAGGCTGATACAATAAATCACACAGGGAGAGACCGGATGAAGATCAGATAAGATAATTCTTTGGAAATGTAAAGCACTAAGCAAACTTGAATTTAAATTCTTTTGAGTCCTTAATCTCCTCCCCCCCCCCACACCCCCCCCCCTGCAGAGTCTAAACTAGGGTGGAGTGAGAGACAGCCAGGGGCCAGACTCAGGGGCCAGACTCGGGCGCCAGGGTAAAAGGCCCCGCTTGGCCTATCACATTCCAGGCTTAAAAAGATGATGGAAATGCAGAAAGTAGATCCATCTTGGAAGAAAGATTCCCTCCAGATCTGTCCCCCTAAACACACACCCCTGGTTTTTTTTTTTTTTTTTTTTTTTGGGGGGGGGAGGATCACCTTTCCTAAGGTAGGGAAGAGAACAGGAGGGAAAAGAAATGAGAGGTAGAGAAAATCTCCCAGGCCAGGAAATGGAACTGAATGGATGGGTCAAAGACTCTTCTCCAAGATCTCCAAGTTGAACACCACCCTGGACTGGAGAAATTAGGCAATCTCTTGGGGGCGAAAAGTGGGGTGCACGCAGGTGAACTGGCCATGCAAGGGTTAATGGTGATGCAGGATGAACCAAATTCAATCTTCTTTCTTTAAAACAAACAGACATGGAAGCCCGATGCTGGCTCCTGCTTCTAATCCCAGCCATTTAGAAGGCTGAGATCTGAGGATCGCAGGTTCAAAGCCAGCCCAGGCAGGAACGTTCCTAAAAGACTCCAATGAACACCTCCTCCCCCATCCCCCCCAAAAAGCAGGAAACTGTAGCTGTGGCTCAAGTGGTAGAGCACCAGGCTTGAGCGGAAGGCGAGGGGAAAAATAAAAGCTGAGGGGTACAGTGTCCAGGCCCTGGGTTCAAGCCTCAGAAGGGGGAGCAAAAGCAAAAGAAAAGAGAGAGAGAAAGAAAAAGCAGCCAGGAGCCCTATCAGAAGTGATGGGAGGTGGGGGGGGGGGACAGCCACAGGTTGCGGCCCCCCTCCTGCACTTTGGGGGGGGGGGTCCCACTGAAGCACGTGACCCGGTGAGATCAGGAGCGCTTTAACTACTTTGTTAATTATCACTGTGAGCCGGGCTGAGTCCGCACCCCAACGAAGCTCAGCCTCGGGCTCAGCTGCAGTCAGTGCGATGCCCCCCATTCCCTCCCCAAGCCCCCCCACCCCGGGGTTGGGGAGCCAGGGAGGCTGGTTGTCTCTGTGGGGAGGCGGAGCGTGGCGGCTTTGACACCCCGCAGGTGCTACTAGAACCCCAGATCGACGCATTACCCCCGCAGCAAACAGCCCCCCCACCTCCTCGCCACCCATTGGGGGGTTCAGATTCTTAGTGAGGTCCCCGTTCAAACGAGGGCGCATCTGCCGGGACGCCCCGAGGCGCCTGGCCCCTGGCAGGCTGCAGGTCACCGCTAAGAACCGCGAACCCCACTTTTCTAACACCAAAAAACTCCCTGCCCCCCCCCACTCCCTGGCACCTGAGGGGGGGGTCCAGGTGCCCAATGGCGCAGGTGACCATGAGGATAGAAAGGCACACTCCCCCAAAACAATTGGAGAGGTGTGGGGGGTTCCCCCTTCCCAGTCATGGCTGAGGGGTTTTGCATGTACCCCCCCCCCGTTCAACATCCAACCCTTGGGGCTGGGCTGGAGCCAAAAGGCTGGGGTGGGGGGGGGTAGGCAGATGGCACACGTGGAGATCTTGGGGTACACCCCCCCATCCCTCTCCGAAGCCATCAGGAACGGGCTCCCCCCCCTCCCAAGACGGGGGTGAGGGAGGGGGCGCACTGCGCATCCTTTCCCCAAGCGCCACTCTCCCCGCCCCGTCGCTACTTCCCGGGATCGGGGGGGGGGTACCCCGTTTCCCACCCCATCCCCATCCCCGGCGGCGGCGCGGGCTCACTTGGCGGCGGCGAGTATCGGCCCGCTTCCTGCATCCACGTCGTGGCGCCGTCCTCGGGGCTCTCGGACTTGACGAGGGGGGCGCCGGGGGGGCTGTGCGCATCCGGGGCGCAGCCGGCCGCGGGGAGCAGCCTGGCGGGGCGCAGCGCCGGGGGCCCCGAGCCCTCGGCCGGCCGCGGGGACAGCTCCCGGCCGGCCGGCGCTGGAGGCGGCGGCGGCTTGGTGTCGGACATCAGCGCCTCCACGCTGAACGGCAGCCGCGACACCGGGACGCGCGGCTCCTCCGGGACCCCCTCGGGGACCCCGGATCCCGGGCCGGGCCCCACCACCGGCGCCGGGCCTTCCTCATCCGAGGAGGAGAACAGATCGTTGCCTTTGCACGGAGAAGCCATGACTTTTCTTCTTCCCCCCCCACCCCGGGTCCCCACGGGTGTCCGGAACTCTCTTCGCTCGCGCTTTGCTTTCTCTCCTCTTCCTCCCAGCTGGCGATCGGCAGCCACCCTCCGCTCGGTGTCGGTGGCCAAACTCCGGAGCTGCGACTCCTCACTTTTTCCCCCCCTCTCTCCCTCTCTCCCAAGTCTCTCTTTTTTCCCAGGGAGGGAAGGTGGGGTTTGGAGGGAGAGGAGCGCGCCGCGCGCCCCCAGCCGGGCCCGTCCCGGGCCGGGTGTGGAGAGGGGCCCGGCGCGGCCAATCAGCGCGCGCCCTGGCGCCCACGTCCGCCGGGCGCGCGCCTCCCATTGGCTCCTCCAGCACAGGCTGGGACCTTGGTTTTTTTTTCTTCTTTAAATCTTTCTCTCCACCTCCTCCTCCTCCTCCTCCTCCACCACCTCCTCCTCCACCACCTCCTCCTCCTCCTTCTTTTCTTCCCTGTTTGAAATAAATTAGGAGTTAATTACAGGAGCAGTCAGCAGAGTTGTTATTAGGCGATCCCTCCAGGGTTATAATTATGCCAAGGGGGGAAAAAATTGAAAAAAAAAAACCCAACAACAACTGAAAAGTCCGAGACGTTCATTAAGGCCGAGTATTATTATTATTTTTTTTTTTTTTAAAAAGGAAGTTCACAGAGTCCCACTTCTTGGTGTCTCTTTGGACCCATACCCCTCTTGAGAGGGATACCTGGTACCCCCATTGTCCCCCCCCCTTTCCTTCCCTCCCCCTTCCCAATGGTCTAAAATCTGCACCTGGCTATCAGAGAGCGTTTATACAAGGTCCTACTGTAAAAACCCCAAACTAGAGTAACCGGGCAGCTGGAGGAAGCACTGGAAAGTTAACATGCCGGTGATCTCAAGCACGGCGGTGCTTAAGTAGCTGGATACACCATCTGCGATGACAACTTATTCCTCCCCCCCCCCCAACTAAAAAGCAGAGGGTAAACCGAGGCACCTTCCCTAACCCCTTTTCCCCCCAATTCCTAGCCAGAGGTGCTGCTGAGTCTTGAATCATTTGCCAGGGGAATTTTTCCCACCCACCGGGGGGAGGGGAGAGGGGGGTCCTCGTTTTTGATTCTGATTTTTATTTAAATCCCGACAGAACCCGTGTGCTTCTTAGAAACGGGAACTTCGTGTCTTGTCCAGGCGCCCCGGATCCGATCTTGGGTTACAAACGTGTGTGTGTGTGTCCGCGCGTGCCCCCCCCGTGAGTGTGTGCGCTTGTGCGCGTGGTTTTGGGGGGGGCTTGGGTGTTTTGTCACGTGTGCCAAGGTGGCATTTGGAAGGTGACATCCAGCCCAGAAGAGAATGTCGCCTCTGACATTTCTCGTCCTTTCCTTCCACCACCCCCTTCCTTGGTAAGCCTCAGGAATCCGGCTTTTCAAGTGTGCACAACTCCGGCACCACTGGATTCCTTGCCTCTGCATTTTTTCTTTTTCCTTAAAAAGAGAAACATTTTCTTTTAAAGCTCAGCTAACCCTACTCGAGCCCAAAGTGTTACCCACAGTAATTGCGCCCCTAAAGTCTCGCTGACGTCTCCCACCCCAAAATCGGAGCGGGGAAGCAAAGAACCAGCTCCGAGGCGCTCAGAGGCCTCGGATCTCTGTACCCCGTGGGCAGGCCGAGGAACCCAAGGTTGCTCGAAATGAGTCTTCACTTTTCTTTCCTGCCTTCCTTCTCTCCTATACCTGACCCAGTTCAAGGTTGTGAAGGAATCTCCCGGCTCATGCATCTTCAGAAAACTTGACCCCTAACCCCAACCCCAAGATCCACAGCTTAGCTTGCCCAGTCGATAGTTCACCCTCAAACTGTGGTTGGAATCGGCTCCCAATTGCTTCTGTGAGTCTGAATCTTCGCTGATCAGTTACATTTAGAGAAGAATTAGAAGAAGAATTAGAATTAGCAGCAGCAGCAGAAGAATTCGAATAAGAAGAAGAAGAACAAGAACAAGAACAAGAAGATGTTTCTGAACAATCTTCTTGAAAGCCTCTGGATTTTTCTTTTCCCTACCAACATATGGTAGAGGCGCCGTTTTGTTTCTTTTTAAATAGTTCAGGGAGCGTTAAAACCCAGGTCTGAAGAAGATAACACGCTTGGTTCTAGCTGACTTGACGGCCATAAGACACACAGTTATAGGTATAGCCAGATGATGTCCTGACTCTCCCCGACGCCCTGGCCCAGGTGAGGGCTGTGTGGTTTGGAATCCAACCTGAAATTCGTTTAGCTCTCATCTGCCAAAGTGTACAGAAGGCTTTAACGTTCCCTTGGGCTGAGCCCAGCCCAGTGTGTGTTTTCTCTTGTTTTCAATTGTTCTGGAAAGCATGGTTCATATGGATGAACGCAGGAGCGCACACTCAACCCGCTCCTCTTCCAAGGAAGGGGATTCATTCCCAGTGGCACACTTCTTTCCATTAAAATACTAATAACAATAATAATCCTCTAGGTGAGAAGAAAAACCCAGGTTTCTGATCTCCGTTCTGCTGAGGATCGTGGACGACCAGCGCAAAGAAGGAAAATAACAAAGCGAGTGTGAAGAATAGAGCAGAGAGTAAAACAGAGAGAGAGGCGCACGAAGAATGTGCTCACCTTGGGCTCAAGTCAGGTGTACGGCCCCCCTTGCCGACCCCGAGAGAGGGAAAGACAGTCGAGGGGTGTTGGGGTGCGGGCAGAAAAGGTGGGAACCTTAACCCAACTGGAGCCATTTTCAGGAACGGGTGAAACCCGACTTTGTCCGTCCGTCCGTGCGCTCCAGGATTTGTTGCGCCCTGAGATTATTTTATTCCCTTTCTCTCGGTCGGGGTCATCTGGTGCACCCCTCCCTCAGACCATTAATATATATTAATAGATGTTAAAATATTAACTAATATATAATGATATCTATCTATCTATCTGTCTATCTATCTAGTGTAAGGGACCCCTGGAAAGAACATTTTACCGTAGAGTAGGAGAAATAACAATGTTTCAACTTTCCTTCTAGCGGGCATTTTTTTAAAAAATGAGGTGCGAGACCCTGCCTGGGCTTCTTTGTTTGTTGGCCATCCCTCCCTCCCCCCCCCCCAGGGTAGAGGGGGGAAGGACAGGAGGGGAAATCGGAGAGAGAGCCCTGGGGAAAGGGGTGACATTGTCCCCAAAGAGAAAGGTACTGAGGGCCAGCATCAGGTAACTGCAACCCCCTTCCGATGTCACCTTTATAATAACAATGAAAACAACCACCACCAACAACCTTCCCCCCCAAAAAAAAATGTTCCCAGGGTTGAGAATTTGGGCACTGAACCCCTAATAAAGCGGAAGGACACTTTATAGAGACACTGGAGGAAGAAGATGGAAAGGGTGACCCGCGAGGATCCTGATTCCGCCTGCAGTCGCCATCGTGCCACTACTTAAAGATAACGTTGAATGAGTAAGCTTCCAATAATAACAACAACAATAACAACAACAATTTAAAAAAGAGGCGGGAGTTACAGGTGCGTGTCAGGGTGTCCGGAGAAACTGGGCGGTAGCCGCGGAGAAGGGAGCGAACGAGGGACCGTCCGCATCCATCTTCCTTCCTTGGTGCCCAAACTCCAAGATGTACCCTCCCAAAAGACCATGGACCCAACACACACACACACACACACACACACACACACACACACACACACACACACACACACACAGAGGAGGCGATTTTTCTTCCCCCTTCCATTTTACGAGCGCAAACACCTTTAAAACCTGGAAAGCGCGCCCCGTGGGCACCCCAAGATCACGCAGGGGAGCCTCTGGAGACATCACCCCCCCCAAAAGTGCATCTCCAGGGAAGGGGAGAACCAGTGGAGCCCGGGGGGGCGCATTTCCCACCAGCCTGGACCTCCTCCCCCACACACCCCTCCTTCCACCCCGCATACCTAGGCGCACCCCGAGACACCAGGGCGCACCCCTCCTTTTTATTTATTGCAAATGCTCAGTCTTGGGGCTCCCACTCAGGCCTTGGGCCGCTATGTCCCTGGGCTTTGGGCTTCCCCGGGCTTCCCCGGGCTTCCCCCCCCCCTCCTGGGGCTGGTGCGCCCCAGTTCCACCTCCAGCTTATTATTATTGTTGTTGTTATTTTGGGGTGTGTTCCTTGGCGATCAGAGTCTCCCAGGCTTTGAACCCCCCCCCCAGTAGCCCCTGGGGTGACAGGTGTGCGCGCGCGCGTGGCGTGGGGAGCAGGGAACCCCGGGGGGGGGCCCCCGGGGACCCCCCCTCTCTCCCTCTCCACGAGGGCGCCCGGCGTCCCTCCACGGTTTCCCCATCACCGCCAGCACCTCCACCACCCACCAGCCACCCTCTCCTCGGTCTCCTGCGGAAACAAACCTCCAGGACCAGGCGTGGTAAGCCGGGGGCGGCGGGGCGGGGCGGGGCGCGCAGGGGAGGCGGGGGCCGGGCCGCGGGCCGCGGGCAGGCGCCAGGCGCGGGGAGATGAAAGGCTGGCTCCGGGGGGAAGGGGCTGCGCCCGGGTGACCGGCTCCAGCCGCGCCGGGCGCCCCGCCCCGCCTCCCCCCACCCCCAACCCCGAGCTGCCCCGGGGCAGAGGCGGCTGCCCGCGCCGGAGCCGCCGCGTTAATTGCTCTGCGCCCCGGCACTCAGCCTGCGCGGAGCCGGGGACCAACCTCGCTCCAGCAAGAGTGACAATTCACCCTAATGGAGAGGTGGGGGGGCCCTCCCCCCTTCTCCATCCCTCCCCCCCATCACCACCAGCTTGTTAGCGGGCCTTGCTTCCCCCCCCCCCACCCCCCCCCAACCCCAACCCCGGGGTATCAGAAGCTCGGGGCAGACACCGGGGCGCCAGCCACAGCCAGAAAATTCCACAAACCCGGGATCGGCCCCCGGGCCTCCGGTCACCTCTCCAACCCCCGTACCTAACCCCCTGCAGACGGCTGCCTCTGTGTGCTGTGTGACCTTAGGCAAACCGCTGCTCCTCTCTGAGCCAAAAAAACATTCTTACC